GGCTTCCAGAGGTTCCACACTATGTTTTTAGGTTCCCAGCCTGGGGACCCAGAAAAAGTCTGTGTTATGTGGTGTGTGTGTGTGTGTGTGTGTGTGTGTGTGTGTGTGTAAGTCTATACATACACAGCCTGTGTTGTCCTAACCCATGAAGGGACAGTGGGAAGGCTACTGGGTTCTAGAAACACCTCTGGAGCCAGACCCCAGATATGCCTACAGGTAAAGTTGTATGGAAGTGTCCTACCATCATCCTTGCTAAGGACACCATGGTGAGATCGACCAGGGCCAATGTTACAGTCACAGGGCTCCAAGTTCCCCAGGAGCTCTGTCACTGGTTGGAAGCACCGTGGGAATTGTGGCCTGGGCACAAACACAGTGATGGAAGTTGGATATCTGAGAGATGCATTTTTTTCAGAGCACTGTGGTGAAATGGTCAGTTTGGAATGAGAATGTAGACCTAGAATGGTCAGAGAATTTGAGACATTAGTGTGAACAGACAAAGGGAGTATACAGTAAGGATCAGGGGACATAGAATATGCAATGGAAAGGACAGAGACCGAGGAGTGTCCATTGGGAACAGAGATGTTGAACAAACTTTGAAGAATGGAGCACAGAGATCTTCCAATGTAGAAGAGAAGGCTTTGGTTTTGCTCTGCATGAGTTGAGAGCCATCGATGGTTGTGAGCAAAGAAGGGACATGGTCTGGCTCAAGTGTTAACAGGTGCACGCAAGCTGCTAAGGAGAAAATAGACTGTATGTGTGTGTGTGGGTGGGGGGAGGTTGGAAGCCAGAGACCAGGGAGGAGGGCACTTCAGGCAAGAGATGATGGAGACTGGATGGGTAGAGACTGTGAAGGGAGTAAGGCTGGGTGGAACTGTGGTTACACTTGGAAGATGGAGCCATCAGGAGGAGCTGACAGATTAGGTGTGGAGTGGGAGGGGGAGTCAAAGCCAACTCCAGGGTTTGTGGATAAGCACCACAAAGATGGGGAGGTGGTGGAGGGAAGATTGGGAGCTTCTGGGGCCAGGATGTACATGAGTTGCCTCTGATTCACCACGTGGGGCACTGTGACACCCCGACTGAGGAGCCCAGTGCCCAAGAGACAGGTGAGATAGAAGCAGAGATCTGCCTCATAGGACCTCAGTATTTTCATCAATTAAATGGAGGCAATTAGTTATTCCACTATCCCCGCCTGCTGAAGGGAGCACATGAAGCACTCCCAGCATGGCATGCAGTGGGCCTGCAGCACACACACCCCACACCCCATCTTTTCTTTCTTGATCCCTCTTTTCTTAACCTTTCCCAAATCTCATCTTCCCTGGATCCTACCTGTATGCTTTGGTCCTCAGGGGCATGTCATGACCCCCATGTAGGTCCTGGGAAATCCTAGTGACCATCACTGCTATCCATCCTCTTTCAAAGGGACACTGAGTCCAGAGGACCAAAGTCACAAAAAGAGAACCCCCTGTAAACAGATATCCACAAAGACAAAATTACCCACAGAGATGAGGCAATCAACCATATAGGTCCTAACAGTTTTCCACCCCTATAAAGATACTGTCACACCCATGTGTATGTCCATACTCACACAGACACAGATCCATAGAAACAGATGGCAAAACTTAGGCACCTATGCTAGAAACTCTTACTTCCAAGCCAAGAAATGTAAAACATAAGATTCATGTGTTCTCTCTCTCTCTCTCTCTCTGGAACATGGTGCTGGCACTTTTCCCCCTTCTTCCCTCAAGGAGAATACCTTTGCCCTCTCTCTCTCCTAAGATCCAAGGACACTACTTTTGTCTGTAATTTGTTTCCTGAGACCACACAGCCCAGCTGGGCACGTTTCCTACCTCTATGACTTTCTAAATAAGATTTCCCTTGTATTTGAAAAACATTAAAGCATCAGCCTTGTGGATCAGTAGTTAGAGTATCGGTCTGCTCACACAAGGGTCTTGAGTTTGGTCTAAGTCAAGGGTTCATACCTGGATTGCACGTACAGTTAATCCAATGAGAATTAACAGAAAGAAAAGAAAGAAAAAGAAAGAAAGAAAGAAAGAAAGAAAGAAAGAAAGAAAGAAAGAAAGAAGGAAGGAAGGAAGGAAGGAAGGAAGGAAGGAAGGAAGGAAGGAAGGAAGGAAGGAGAGAGAGAGAGAGAGAGAGAGAGAGAGAGAGAGAGAGAGAGAGAGAAAGAAAGAAGGAAAGAAGGAAAGAAAGATTTCTGAGGTTGACATTTGGTCTTTGATCCAGCCATACATGAAGCTGATCCTAATTTTTGAGTTTTTGCTGGTGGGAAGGTGTTACTATAGTGTGTAGAACAGTACTGACGACACGCTGAAGTTAGGCAGAAGGGTCTAAATTTAGTATGAGCACTTGGGCATCTAGTCAGTGTGAGCCATCTAATGTTCTTGATCAGGGGAATTTCATGCTCAGAACTGTCCCGCCGGGGGCAGTGAGTGGATGAATGAATGTATTGGCCGCAGACCTGTGAGACAGGTCCAGATAAGAGACTGAGTCGCAGAGTGAGCGGCCACACAGGTGTCCTTCATACAGTCTTGATTCAACCTCGGTGTGAGCTCGTCGGGAGTCTTCGAACTACAACTTCCGGCATGCAACGCCAGCGACCCCTGGTCTCGCGGGTCGTCCTTTGCATACAAGCGTGATGATTGGTCGCTCGGGCTGTCTGTCAGACCAGCGTCTAGCTCTGATGGGTCCAGGTCCCATAAAGTGTCCCGAGCAGGGTCTCGTGGGTCTGCGTACCGCGCTCCCGCCGGCAACATGGTAAGCCGGCGTTCTGAGGCGCGGTGGGGCGCTAAGGGGTCAGGGTCCCGCCCTGGGGTTTAGGGAGACACCTAAGGGATGGAGGTCCTTTTGTGGAGATTGGGGCCTCCGAGAGACTCCAAGTCGCGCAGAGTGCCATGTGTCCCACTCTGGGGTAGGCATCTCAATGCGGGACCCGTGTTGGGGGTCAGGGTCGTGCCTAGGGGATTGGAAGCCCCTAAGCGTTCCGAGGGTGTACCCTCTAGAGGCCTGGGATCCCACCGAGAGGACTGGGGACCAGAGCACGTTTGGGGCCCCCCGAGGGAGGTCTGGGGTCCTGCTGGGGCCCTCTCTGGGGTCGGGGTCCTGCGGGAGCGTGGGGGCAGCACCAGGGAGAACCCTGAGAGGAGAGGGCCAAGCAGAGCGGATCTGGGTGGTTTCAGAGCGGACGAGGGTCCCAGATTGGAGACAGCACAGTGGAACGAACCCTCAGGTCTCCCTGGTCCCAGGTCCAAAAACCCGGCCTTGTGGGCTAGGCTGGTGCTTGGTGAGGGCGGGAACATACCCACCCCCACACACCTCTATTGTGTTCGAACTGGTCCGAGGGAGAGACAGTCTGGAGGGGCCGGGAAGGCGACCTGACTCTGCCGGTGGTGAGGGAGGAGAGATGTCCCCAAGGAGGGGCGTTGGAGGTGGGCCTGAAGTGAGGGTACTGGTGGAGAGGGTGCTTAAAAGTGGGCGTCGTTCCAAGCTGGGTGCGGGATGCTCCCTGGACAGACCTCCTGGGTCTTAGGTGGAGTACCCGTAGATGGAGAACGCATGCCTCCTTCCCTCCTTACCTTTCGTCCTGTCGTAGGTGCTGGAACCGCAGTTTGAACCATGGGCCCTCTCACTGGGAGATGTGTGTGTAGGGGGATAATGGGGTCAGAGATGGAGAGCCCCCGGGTCTGGAGAGCCTCTCAGACTTGGGTGGTTGGACGCAGGGAAGGTGGGGGAGAGAGCCAGGCACTGAGATGGGGTGGTCTTGAGCTGGGCCTGCCAGGTCTTGCAAGCTGTGTAGTGGAGTTGCATGTTGATTATGAGACTGGGAAGGGTCTGGGGTTCCCTTGAGGAACCCAGTGCTGTGTTCTTGGGAGTGAGGGGTGGGTGCTGGGCTCCAGCAAAGGGCCTGGGGAAGCACAGGTCTGCGAGCTTGGCAGAGAGGTCTACCTGGAGGTGCTGTTCTGTTGGGGTCATGCTGGGCCAGGTCACTGGTTAAAACCCTGGCAGAGGATGAGGTCATAGGATAGAGGCCTGCAGAGGGAGGAGAAAAGCAAGGATGCCCAGAGGTTTGGAAATTTGGAGAGTGTTTGTGGGAGGCACTGGGAGTCCCCAGAGGAGAAGAGAAGGGGTCCTGGGAGGAAGGGTGGGTGGGAAAGCCTGGCCCTATGGGCTTGGGGGTGCCCACAGACCTTGACAGTGCTGTGGTCATTAGTGCCTGCTGGCCAGTTTGTACTCGGTAGGGGGAGGGTAGGCAATGAGACTAGGAGATTAGTGAGAGTTAGAGAGCAGAAAGATGGCACCCCACCCTCACTGCTGAAAAAATACTTATGGGCTCAGTTTACAAGTCTCAGGCATAGAGAAAATATCTTTTGCCCTGGCCTGTGTGGCTCGGTTGGTTGAGCAGCATCCCATGCACCAAGAGATCGCTGGTTTGATTCCTGGTCAGGGCACATGCCAGGGTTTCGGGGCTCCATCCCTTGTGGGAGAAGTGCAGGAGGCAGCCAATTGATGTTTCTCTCTCTCCCTCTCCCTTTCTCTCCCTAAAATCAATAAAAACATATTTTTAAAATTAATTAATTAATTTTATTACTCACCTAAGGATATTTTTCCATTTATCATCAGACAGAGTGGGAGGGAGGGAGAGAGAGAGAGACAGAGAAACATCGATGTGATAGAGCTACATCAACTGGTTGCCTCCCGCATGACCAACCAGGGCCAGGGACGAACTGCAACCCAGATACGTACCCTTAACTGGAATTGAACCCGAGACTCATTGGTCCGTGGGCCGACACTCTAACTGCTGAGCCAAACAGGCCAGGGCCCTTTTGCTCTCTTAAAAAATCAATGGAAAAAAATATCCATTGAGGATTAACAAAAAATAAAAAAAATAATATTAATCTTTATTTAATTTTAGTTGTTAATTATAATACCATAATTCTAGTATACAACTCTCCTGAGCACATTTTACATAATTACTGATAGCAGATCCTGTATTTACTATCTTCGGGCAGCTTTAGCTTCAGACTGATGACCAAAAACATTTCTTCTAAAAAGTTTAAAAATAAGTATGTGAAAACATGTTATGAATTATTGTTTAAAAGGTTATGTAGCACTTGGTGAGGCAATTCCTAATAAGAAAAAGTTATCCCACTCACGTGTCTAAGTCTTATTCCTGAAACTGATAGTGGTCAGCTGAGAAGGCTGATGACAAAGGGAGGTGTAGAGGAAGAGAAGGTGATGGAGCCATCAGGGATAAATTAAGACAGAGCCACCAGGGTGAATGTTGGAGCCAAAAGCTAGCCTGAGACAGTTGGTGCCAAGGCTTGGAATATGGTCACAGAGGAGCCACTTTCATTGGATGTACTGGGGTCATTGTAGGCTCAGAAGGCGGTCATGAAAGTACAAGAAACAAAATAGGAAGCACTTCATTTCCAGATGGGGAAAACCAAATTGATGAGATTAATACCCGAAATCCATGGCAGAGACTGGAAGCGAACCTGTCTGAACTGTCTCTGTCCCAGCATATGTTCTCCATTCCCTGCCAGCCGGATGTGGAGTTAGGGGCTCCCAGGTTGGGTCTGAGCTCACCCCAGTCCTCTTCCCCAAGATGCATCTGGAGCCAGGGAGGCCTCCCACCCCCACCTGCTGGTTCTGCATCTCTATAAATAGCTGGGTTTCCAGGGAGTGATCTTGTTACTCTCTGGGCACTACCTGTCATGTCCCCTCCCCCAGGCAATCCTCGGAGTGCAGCTGGTGGTGACCCTGCTCACTGCCACTCTGATGCACAGGCTGGCACCTCACTGCTCTTTTGCACGCTGGCTGCTCTGCAATGGCAGGTGAGCCACAGCCCCTCCTCGAGGTGGCAGGAGCCCAGCCCTCTCTGGTCCCCCCCAAGCCCTGCCTCAGGTCCTGCAGGTAGTTTTTTTAAACAACTTTATTGAGATGTGGTTGATGTGCAGTAAGCTGCATATTTTGGAAGTGCACAGTTGGATCAGTTCTGACAGGTGTGTACACACACACGCGCGCGCGCGCGCGCAAACGAGACCATCTCCACACTTGAAAGAGCAGATGCTTCCCCCACTTCACCTTCCATCCACCTTCCTCTCTCTGTAGATGTGTGCCGAAACATTTTTTGTCCTTGTTTGTGTCTGGGGCCCTTCCTGAGATTTGGTGGAAACTGTGTACTCTCCTTAGGACAGTGTGCACACCTACTTTGCTAGGAGAGTTAGCCAGCAGATTTGGGGTGTCCATGACACCTGCTGCCCTGCCCCAGTCCATCTCTCTTGCCTTCCCTTGGCCTTCGATGGTCCCCGCTCCTCCTGTCACCAGAGGTTCTAGGGCCCAGCCCTCCCTTGGGCTCTAGTCCTGGGTTTTGGAGTTCACTGCCTTAACATCACAGCCCCCCCCCCCATGCCCAAGCTTTCCTGACTGCCTGCCTGTCTTTGCCCTCAGTCTCTTCCGATACAAGCAACCTTCTGAGGAAGAGCTTCGGGCCCTGGCAGGGAGGCAAAGGCCCAGAGGCAGGAAGGACCGGTGAGTGAGCCCCCAACCTTTGGGGAGGCTGCAGGGCACAGGGCCCACCCTGGCTACCCTCAGGCACCGCTCTGGGCACAGGGGAGAATAGGGGACACACAAGGCTGAATGGTTTTTTATTGTCATGACTGGGCTGCCTTCAATCTGTGTTGAATGCTTGGAAATTTGCTGTGGGCCCGCCTGTGGGCCGGTGGTGCCTGCAACTTGGTGTTTAGAGGACACCAAAACTGGGGGAGAAGGTACCTCCAGGCCAGCTCCTGTGTTCTGAGGGTGGCACTCTGAACCTCCCAGACTGCGGTAGGGAGAGGTGGGCTGGACTGGGGAGGGGGAAATGGAGGATGCTGCTTTGACACCAACCCCCACCCCACAGCTGGGCCAATGGCTATAGTGAAGAAAAAACTTTATGTGTCCCCCGAGATGCCCCTTTCCAGCTGCAGACCTGCCCGCTCACAGCCGTGGATGCCCTGGGTAACAGTCCAGTGGGTCCCCAGCTCCTCTCATTTTGCCCACACCCTGCAGGGTTGGTGGGTGGGGGGAGACCCTGGGTGTGCAGTGTTGGGGGAATGCCCTGGGCAAGCAATCCCGTCTGAGTGGTGTGTCCTGCAGTCCTGCGCTTCTTCCTGGAATACCAGTGGTTTGTGGACTTTGCTGTATACTCGGGTGGCGTGTACCTCTTCACAGAGGCCTACTACTATGTTCTGGGCCCAGCCAGGGAGACCAACATTGCTGTGTTTTGGTGTCTGCTTACCATTGCCTTCTCCATGTATCCTTTCAGCTCTGAGTGGGGCAGCGGGGGCATGTGGGAACCTGGCTGAGGCTCCCTGTCTCCCCTAAATTGGTAATTGGTTATGGACTACAAACCTCCCCCAAACTCGGTGGGGTAAAGCAACCCCTATTTCTTTTGTTAATCCTCACCCAAGGATATTTTTTTCATCGATTTTTAGACAGAGTGGACGGGAGGGAGGGGGGAGAGAGAGAGAGAGAAATCTCAATGTGAGAGAGACACATCAGCTGGTTACCTCTGGCATGACCCTGACCAGGGCCGGGGATTGAACCTGCAACCTTTTGGTCCACAGCCAACACTCTAACCACTGAGCAAACCAGCCAGGGTGAAGCAGTCCCTATTTCATTTGCCTGCCTGGGCCAGGCTCAGCTGGGTGGCCTCATCTCTGCTCCCAGTAGTCCCCTTTCCAGCAGGCTGGGCCAGGCTCCCACACTGCAGCCACAGAAAGGCAGCAGGGAAGACGGAGCACTGCCGGCCTTCGAGGCCTTGCCCAGGTCAGCCCATCCTTTCCCTGTCTATCCGTTCGGTCAGAGCAAGTCACAGGCCCGCCCAGATGCAGGGGCCTGGAAGGAGATGCCTCCTCTGCAGTTTTTTTGTTAAGCTGCACAGAGAGCAAGGTGAACCTGTGACTTTAGGGACCCAATTAGAAGAAAATGTCTTTGTGCACTGGGCTTGGGAAGAAGGAAAGTTTATCTTGGGGTCCACACTGTTCCTAAAAACCCTGGAGTCTCTTCAGGACAGATTGGAGATACAGCCCTTATATTTGTTAGCTTCTCAGAGGAATGTGCTGTTAATGTAGCCAGAAGGGTAGGTGGGTGAGGAAGGCAGGACTCCTGAAGAGACTGAATTGGTGGCCATTTCTGACTGGCCCCACATAGTGTGATGAGCCAAGCTGGAGGCCCAGCCCAGGCAACCTGCCATGTGCACAGCCCCACACTGCTGACAGACGTGAACAGCATTCCAGCCTTGTGTCCTGGGCTTGTTCATCGGCTCATTTTTCTTTTTGGTCACTCCCCTGCCACCCAGGACCCCAAACCCAAACCTGGTTTCACTGGCTGGAGGTGGTGGAATGGGCAGGGGTATCCCAGGTGGAGGCCTCCTTAACTCTGCCCCCAGCAAGGTGTTTCTGACAGTGACTCGGCTGTACTTCAGCGCCAAGGACCAGGGAGAACGCTCCGTCTGCCTCACCTTTGCCTTCCTCTTCCTGCTTCTGGCCATGCTGGTGCAGGTTGTGCCAGAGGAGACCCTCGAGCTAGGCCTGGAGCCAGGTATGTGCATCAGGGGTATGGGGTGGGCACCTGTCACCCCCTGCTGTAAGCTGATGAGTGTGGGATTTAAGTGGCTTGACACACCTGCACATTGTAGGTGAAAGAGGGGCTCCTAAGGCTAGGCAGTCTCTCTGGATTTCTGCCACCCTTGGCACCCCCTTGGGCGTATGGTGTGAGAGAACATCTTATCTCGCTGTCTGACACACACCTGTGGCTGTAGCTCCTCCCACTGGCACTTCTGTTCCCTTCAGTCTGTCCTCTGCCCAGCAGCCACACTAACTTAATTTGTTTGTTTGTTTGTTTGTTTTAATCCTCACCCGAGGACATTTTTCCATTTTTTGTTCAGATAGAGTGGGAGGGAGAGAGAGGACGAGAGAGAGAGAGAGAGAGAGAGAGAGAGAGAGAAACAGCGACATGAAAGGGACACATCGAGTGGTTGCCACCCGCACGACCAACCAGGGCCGGGGACAAACTGCAACCGAGGTACATGCCCTTAGCGGGAACCGAACCCCGGTCTCTCTGGACCGCAGGCCGACGCTCTAACCGCTGAGCCAAACCGGCCAGGGCATTAATATTTACCTATTTTTACTTCATTTGTGGGAGTAAATGGGTAATGGTACAAAATTAATAGAATACAAGAGGCTATAGAGAGTGAAAATGACCCTTCCACGCTTTTTAAAAAACATTTTTATAATTTTTCTTTATTGACTTTTTTTTTTTTTTGAGAGAGAGAGAGAGAGAGAGAGGAAGGGGTAGTCTTGTGTCACCTGTTCTGTGATTCCAACTTTTGTTTTCCTCAGTCATTTCATACAAAACTGGTAACACTAATTTCTGAAGTCCCTGGGGTCTAAACTTGTGTGTTTTTTTCCTGCTGACTCTCCTTTATGGTGATTTGTTTCCTTGTGTGTTTGGTGATTTGGGTTGTGAGTTCATATTTACTTCCTGTTACTCTGTGGAAAATCTTGGGGCCTGAACTGCTGAGGACTCTGGTTTTCTCCTGTGGGAGTCCTTCATATCCCCTGACTCCTGGTATAATCCTGTAAGCTCAAATTCACTTGGCACAATCTCCTGTTCTTTTTTTTTTTTTTTTTTTTTTTTGAGAGAGAAACATCAATTGGTTGCCTCTCATATGGTCCCCAACCAGGGATCAAACCCACAACCTAGGTATGTGCCCTGACTGGGAATTGAACCCTCAACCTTCTGGTGTGCCAGACGATGCTCCAACCAACAAAGCCACCTGGCCAGGGCCATTCCCCTGTTCTCTGAAAAGAGCTGTATGTCACTAGAGCATTAAGTGGCCCTCATGCCTGGCGTGGAGCCTGGATGCCACTGGTGCTCCTACGTGAGGAGCAAAGGACGCCGGAGAGGGGCAGAGTAGACTCTGAGGCCTCAGGGGTATACTTGTACTCTACCCCACTCTTCTCGTTTTCCCCAGGCCTGGCCAGTATGACCCAGAACTTGGAGCCACTTCTGAAGATGCAGGGCTGGGACTGGATGTGAGTCCTGAGAAGGGAGAGGGCGTGGGGCAGGCTGTGAGGCTGTGGGGCTCCCTGACCATCTCTTCTTCCCAGGCTTCCTCTGGTCAAGCTGGTCATCCGCGTGGGACTTTCAGTCCTGGGCTCCATGCTGGGCGCCTTCCTCACCTTCCCAGGCCTGCGGCTGGCCCAGACCCACCGAGACGCGCTGACCATGTCAGAAGATCGGCCCATGCTGCAGTTAAGTGGGGGGCTGGGTGGGTGGGAGGCTAGGGAGCCTAGTGGAGAGGACGAGGGGATGGCAGGTGCCTAGCTCTCATCCTGCTGTGACCTTTCCCCCAGGTTTCTCCTGCACACCAGCTTCCTGTCTCCCCTGTTCATCCTGTGGCTCTGGGCCAAGCCCATTGCTCGGAACTTCCTGTACCGGGCACCCCTTGGGGGCACACCCTTCTTCCTGTGCGTATGGGGTTGAGGCCTGGAGGGAAGGCAACTGGGGGACCCCTCTGTATACTCCAGTGTCTGAGGCTCAGGGAGGAGCCAGGAGAGAGCGGTGGGTCATGGGGGAAGATCCTAGGGCAGAAGGGGTCCTTACTAGCCCCCTCCCCCTCTTCTCTGCAGGCTATCAGACTCAGCCTTTGACTCACTGCGCCTCTGGGTGCTGGTGGCACTGTGCCTACTGCGGCTGGCAGTGATCCGGCCCCACCTGCAGGCCTACCTGTGCCTGGCCAAGGCCCGAGTGGAGCAGCTGAGGCGGGAGGCTGGCCGCATTGAGGCCTGTGAGATCCAGCGGCGGGTACGGGTGCCTGTTGGGGAGGAACCTGGGGTGCAGGGTCAGGCATGGGGTCAGCTAGAGCCCAGGTCACCTGTCACTGCTACCTGCTCACTAGGTAGTACGGGTCTACTGTTACCTGACAGTGGTGAGCCTGCAGTACCTGACGCCACTCATCCTCACTCTCAATTGCACACTGTTGCTCAAGACGCTGGGTGAGAGGATGCTACCTTGTGGGCTGGGGGTGGGCTGGGGGTCTCTGAGGCAGCCCTGGCCTTAGCCCCCTCACCCTCTACTCCTCGTCCTCTTGACCCCTTATCCCCCCATTCCACCCTCCTCCCTTCACCTATCCCTCTCTCTACTCTCTTCTCACAGGTGGCTACTCTTGGGGCCTGGGCCCAGCCCTCCCACTATCCCCAGTTTTGACAGCAGCCCAAGATGGCCCAATGGGCCCCAAAGAGGACGAAGCCCAGCAGGCGGTGGCCCAGATCACTGGGGCCCTGGGTGGCGTGCTCACACCCTTCTTCCTCCGTGGCATCCTGGCCTTCCTCATCTGGTGGACTGCTGCCTGCCAGCTGCTTTCCAGCCTCTTCGGCCTCTACTTCCACCAGCACCTGGCAGGCTCCTAGCCACCTGAAGAGACGCCTGGGCCCCATGACCACTCCCTCTGTGTGTAACTCAGTATCCCCGGGTGCAAGTGGGCCGGGGTGTCCCCAGGGTGCTCAACGCTTCACTGCAGTGCCTGCACGGCTCCCTTTGAACCCTGAGCTTCTGCTTCAAAACTATCTGCTGAGGCCAGTGGCAGGGGTCTCAGCCACTGCTCCTGGATTGCATGTGTGCATTCAGGTTTGACAGCAGAACAACAACGGAGAGGTGGCTTTTACAAAACAGGGAAACAGGCCCAGACTGGTTTGGCTCAGCTGTTAGAGCATAGGCCGGAGGATTGAAGGTTTACGAATTCGATTCCCAATCAGGGGCGTGTGCCTGGGTTGCGGGTTTGATCCCTGACCCCTCAGGGTTGTGCAGGAGGCAACCAATCAATGTGTCTCTCTCACATCGATGTTTTTCTCTCTCTCCCTCTCTCCCTTCCACTCTCTAAAAATCAATGGAAAATATCCTTGGGTGAGGATTAACAAACAAACAAAAAAGGGAAACAGAAGGGAGATGGAGGGGGAGGGTGTGGGTGGGCCTACAGTGCTGGGCGAAGACACAGTGGCTACTGCCCCGTGCAGGTACACGGGGACTGCTTTCCTATAAAGGTCACACACAGGCAAATGGGCAGATTGTTGAGGCCATGGTGACCCAGGGGAAAGAGGATGAGGAGCCTCTCTGACTCCTGAATTTTTCTGTCACTGTGACTACAGTGGGACCCAGTATGTTTGCATGTGTGTATGACAACATATGTGTGGCTAAAATCCCAAAATTCAACTGAGTAAATTTTAATTATCTTACTTGGCTTTATTCAATGACTCATGAATCAGGCAGCATCTTATGCTTTCATTACATGGATAAATATGAAAAGTATATTAAAAACAAAGGTTAAAACCTGGGTTAAGGCAAACTAAATGCATCATCCGATTTTGATCCTTCTAAAGTCCTCAGTAAAGCCCAGCTGGTGTAGCTCAGTGGTTGAGCATCGACCCATGCACCAAGAGGTCGCTGGCTCGATTCCTGATCAGGTCACATGCCCAGGTTGTGGGCCAAATCCCCAGTGGGGGGATATCCAGGAGGCGGCCAGTCGATGTTCTCTCTCATCGATGCTTCTCTCTCTCCCTTCCTATCTAAAAATCAGTAAAAGGAAAAATTTTAAATAAACATCCCTGGCTAGTTTGGCTCAGAGGTTAGAGTGTCGGCCTGTGGACCAGTGGGTTGTGAGTTTGATTCCGGTCAAGGGCACATACCTTGGTTGGGGTTTGTCCCAGCCCTGGTCCGGGTCGTGCAGGAGGCAGCCAGTTGATGTGTCTCTCACATCAATGTTTCTCTCCCTCCCTCCCTCCCACTCTATCTGAAGATAAATTAAAAAATATTGTTGGGTAAGGATTAAAAAATAAATAGATACAGTCATCTCTCGCCACTTTGCGCTTCGACGTTCGCCGCTTCACTCTGTTGCGGCTTTTTTGAAGTACGAAGTGGTGAGGGACGACTGTATAAAGAATCCTACTTTGTGGAAATTCATTTATCGCGGTCGAGTCTGGAACTGATTAACCGCAATAAATGAGAGCCGAGTAAAGTCCCCAGTAAAAGTACAGAGGCTGCAGTATGTTCCGGGAGGTGGAATTAAAGGAGGAGCCACAATTGACTGCCAAGCCCATGGATATCAAACCTGAAGCCCAGGAAACAGCTGGATTTACCTGTAGAAACTTCTGGAGGCTCTGACCACACGAGGTGCCTATGGGCCAGGCTGAGGGTGGGGTGAGACTTGGAGGTGCTAGCATGGAGGCTGTTTGGAAAGTTCTCAGGTGTTGCCCTGGCCGGTTCAGCTCAGCGGTTAGAGCGTCGGCCTGCGGTCCAGAGAGACCCGGGTTCGGTTCCCGCTAAGGGCACGTACCTCGGTTGCAGTTTGTCCCCGGCCCTGGTTGGTCGTGCGGGTGGCAACCACTTGATGTGTCCCTTTCACGTTGATGTTTCTCTCTCCCTTTCTTCCTCTCCCTCCCATTCTATCTGAACAAAAAATGGAAAAAAATGTTCTCGGGTGAGGATAAAAAAAAAAAGTTCTCAGGTGTTTGTTTTCCTCCCATGACATCACTGCACAGCCAGGAGGGAAGCAGGCTTGGTAGGGAGTGTGGCAAATGGGACCAGGTGACTGCACCTAATGAATGCTGAGTGGAGAGCCAGCATTCCTCGCCCTGCCTGCAGATTCCAGAATCTCCCTGCGTGAGACAAGACCCTGGGGAATCCAGCTGGTCCAAGAAGAAAGGCCTGATGACACTGGAACCAGAGTTCACAGCCTCCAGCCCAGGGGTGAAACCATGTGTTCCCCACATTCCTTGCTCTTCCACCTGTTTGTCTCCGTCCTTATTCTTCATGGTGAGCAGACAATCAGGACTGTCCAGGGATCTGAGGAAATGTCAAGTGTGGAAGATAGACCCAAACAGAAAAAAGACAACTTTGGGAAATTGACTTCACAGGGGGAAGAGAACTTACAAAAACAAAACAGTCCACCCCCTGGCTGGTGTGGCTCAGTTGGTTGAATGTTGATCTATGCACCAAAAGGTTGGGAGCTTGATTCCCAGTCAGGGCACATGCCTGGGTTGCTGGCTTGATCCCCAATAGGAGGCGTGCAGGAGGCAGCCCATCCATGTTTCTCCCTCTCTTCTCTCTAAAAAAACAAAAACAAAAATTAAAAAAAAAAAACAGCCCTGGCCAGTTTGGCTCAGTGGTTAGAGTGTTGGCCTACGGACCAGAGTCGTGGGTTCAATTCTGGTCAAGGGCATGTACCTCGGTTGCAGTTTAGTCCCTGGCCCTGACTGGGGTCCTGTGGGAGGCAATCAATCAATGTGTCTCTCTCACATAGATGTTTCTCTCTCTCTCTCTTTTTCCCTCCCTTCCATTCTGTCTGAAAATAAATGGAAAAATACCCTTAGGTGAGGATTAAGAAAAAACAACCCAGAACATTCTCCAAGAAAAGAGATTGTATGCATGAAACAAGAACAATGCTACTAAAATGGAACATCTGATGAACCTTCTCTGTTCTCTTTTTGAGCTTTTGGAGCTTTAAAGCAGATGCAAGATAAAATCATGGGAATCTTACAGAAGGGATAAAAAGGTAAAAGATACACAAAATAAGAATTGACAAAGAGGAAATTAGATTATTGGCTCAGAAGAAGAACCTTCTAAATAATGAGAGTTCTGGCTTGAGAGATCCAAGCAAACAGGAAGGACACTCGTGGTACAAGGCAAAGGGAACTCCCCAGGACCAGAAGGTACCTGATGCTGGCCCTCGGTGTCTTGTGATGTCCCATCCCTGGGAAGTTCCAGAACAAAGACCAGCTCCCAGTGAGGACAGAACAGGCCATACCTAGTGGCCCAGGAATCAAAAGTTGATGGAATGTTTCTCCCAGCTCTGCAGGACCCTGCACTGTCCCCTGGCATCTCAGGAGTCACCGGGGACTCCCCTTGATCAAACACCCAGTGGCCCCTGAGCCCAGTGGGCACAGTTCTCCCTGCAGTGGTGCCTCAGGCTGCCCGGCCCCTTGCTTGCTGAACCATGGCTGTGCATGCTCTCTGCTTTGGAGCTCAACACCACAGGGTTTAGGGACACAGGAAGGTGGAAATGCCATAAACAAAAGCAAGGCAGTGAGCAACATAAACTTCAGGCACAATGGAGTGCAGTACTCGTGGGGTGGCCGAGGCGGGAAGAACCAGTGCCGGTTATAGCCTTCACTGCTGTGCATCCAACCACAGACATTTACAGACTCTGCACACTTTACACACTCACAAAGGGGTAAGAATTAGAAAAAATATAGTGGAGCCACAGAGAAAAGCGGGGAAGATGGGAGGTGGTGGTTAAGATCCTGTTTTCAGGGGGAGGATAAGTATTTTAGCTTTTGTTGATATGTCAGTGGCAACTTCCACATATAGGTGCTGCTGACAGGAGGGGATCTTTCTGCCCCAAAGTGACACTAGTCAATGTCTGGAGACATGATTGTCACAACTGGAGGTGGGAAAGAGGCTAATAGCATCTGGTGGGTGGAGGCCAGGGGTGCTGTTCAACACCCCACAGTGCCCAGAATGGTTCCCAGCACAGAACAACCTGGCCCCAGACATCAGTAGCACTGAGGCTGAGAAACCCTATATCACAGGAAACGGACTGTATAATTTCCAAACCCCCTGAAGAAAAGGAGAATTTTTAAAAAAGAAACCCCCAAAACAAATCAAACCAAACCTTTTACGCAAGAGAAGTCAGCCAAGGAGAAAACCAGGACAAAGAAAAGAACCTGCAAACTGAAACAGGACCTGAGGTGCACCCATGGACATCTGAAACAACCTCATTTTGTCACGTCCTCCGGCCTTCACCTGCCCTGGCTGTCCCCTCCCCACCAGGCACTGACTGGTCACCACCAGCCTCTCTTGCCACCCTTGGCTCCCCTCAGCCCCTGCAGGCTCCTTTCTCCCCTCTCCCCGCCTCTCCATCTTTACTCGTGGGGCCTTACATGTTTGTCAACAAATCTCAGTTTTATTTTTATGGCCCTTAGCATTGGGTAGCTCAGTCAGCTTGTCCAGTGCTCTTGCTCCATCTTTTCAGTTACCCTTCTCCCTTCACATCTAGCCTATCAGGAAACCTGTCTGCAATCTTCAAAACCATTCGGACCCAACCACTCTCTCACCCCCACTAACACCCTGCTCGTCAACAGCTGCTTGTCCCCTTGCACACAGCTCTGCCAGCAGCCAGAACGGGGCTCTGTGAATCTCAGTTTCCTAATTGAGGAGCTGCCTCAGTTACAGAGCACGCGGGCTCTGAAGGGCAGGCTTCCTGCCAAACAGGCTGCTAAACAGCTGGGGAAAGTGATATGGGCCTCGACTTAGAGAAGAACCAGTTTGTCCATTCTGGCTGCTGTAACGAAGTGCCATAGCCTCGGTGGCTGACAAAGGGAATTGATTTCTTCCTGTTCTGGAGGCTGGAAGTCCAAAATCAAGGCACTGGCATGGCCAGGAGAGGACCCACTTCTAGGTTGTAGATGCCATTTCTCATACATTAGAGAATGGAGTGGGGCCAGCTCTCTGGTGTGACTCTTACAAGGGCACGATTCCATTGTGGGGGCCCCACCCTCACGACCTCATTTGACCCTATGCTTAAGCCCCACCTCCTAATACCACTACATTGGCTTTAGATTTCAACATAGGGATTTTGGGCGCTGGGGGAGACATCAGTCCATGACAACCTGAAAGATAAAGTAGCCAGAAACTGGGCCCCCACAATGCCATGAAACCACACACAAGCTGAAAAGGCAGAAGAGTCATACCAAGGCAAAGACAAGATCTTAAGGGAACACTAGGAATTATCAGAAGTTATCTAGAGGTGACAATTTCCTAAGAAAACACAAATGAGGAACTTGAGTCTGGGTCTGGTTTCCCAGGTTGAAGGCAGGTGCCGGGCTGGGCCCTGGGGTGCTCTTGGTTCCACTCCTCACCCAGAGTCCTCTGGAACCTCAGCCTGCAAATCCTCCCCTTGCTCAGATCCCAGCCTGGCTCCCTGCCTGTGCTTCCCCTCCATGTTTCCTCATCTACTCAAACCTCCAGGTTCCCCAGTCCCAGTCTCGGGGCTCCTGCTTGACACCCACCCTGCAGGGAATTCCCGGGCCTCAGGGGGCTTTTCCCAATACCTCAGGTGGGGTTTTCCCCTCCCTCAGCTGCCCTCCAGGATTCCCACCTGACTCCCCTGGGCTCCACAGCATATTCTTTATTTTTTATTTTTATTTTTTTTATCCTTACCCGAGGACATTTTTCGATATTTTGTTCAGATAGAGTGGGAGGGAGAGGGAGAAAGAGAAACATCGATGTGAAAGGGACACATTGAGTGGCTGCCACCCGCAGGACCCAACTAGGGCCGGGGACAAACTGCAACCTTGGTACGTGCCCTTAGTGGGAACCGAACCCGGTCTCTCTGGACCGCAGGCCTACGCTCTAACCGCTGAGCCAAACCGGCCAGGGCACAGCATATTCCTTAGATGTTTGTATCAAGAGCCAGAGCAGCATCACCCGTCATGTTGCCAGTCCCAAGTAGAATCCCCCAAGGCAGACACAAGTCTGGGAACCTTGACTCACCCCCTCACTGGAGGTGTTTTAGTCACTGGAGGTGTTCAAGACCCACTGCAATGGGGGTTGGAGGACTTGCATGAAGAATCTGCAGCCACTTCTCTCCAGTGTGTCTGTGTCACCCATAGCTGCCTTGCTGGGGCACAAAAACACAAAACACACAAGATTCCTGCTCAGGTCACTTAAGAACATCTTGCCTCTCTACCAGGCCAGCTGCCTCGGGCTACAGGGCACAAACTGATTAAGAGGCGGGAAATAAATGGCCAACAATCATGAAGAGTCTCCTGCCCTTGCAAGGGATCACAGGAAGATGTGACTAAAACAGCAAGAGTGGCCCTGGCCAGTTTGGCTCAGGTGTTAGAGCGTCACTGTGGACAAAAGAGTGGCAGGTTTGATTCCAGTCAAGGGCACATACCTTGGTTGAGGTTCATCCCTGGCCCTGGTTGGGGTCATGTGGGAGGCAACAAATCATTGTGTCTCTCTCACATCCATGTTTCTCTCTCTCTCCCTCCCACTCTATCTGAAAATAAATGGAAAAATATCCTTGGATGAGGATTTAAAAAAAGTAAAACAGCAAGGGTGTACCACATGGCACCCCCAAACAGGGAGTCCGAGGCTGCCAGCCAGGGTGTGGCCTGAACCCTGCACAATGCCTGTGGTACCTAAGTTCACACAGCTGCACTGGGGAGCACTTTGGCGGTATCTGGAAGAGGTGACTCCACAGCTGGCTGGTTCCCCAGGAACACATCCTGGGAGATTCTCACCTATGGGTGCAGAAGCCAGGGTGGCAGTCACACCATTATTTCTCACCACAAAAAGCTGGCCCAGGATGAGTAAATAAGTGGGGTTAAATAGTAAATACCATGTTGCTCACCACCTACACGCAAGGCTCCACTTCCTGCTTCTGGTTGGTGTGCCTGGAACGTCATGGCCACTGTGAGAGACCTCTGGTAGCCTCACTCTCCTGCATTAGAGGGTGGCACTATTTGAACTCGAGGCCTCATCCAGCTGTCCCCAGACAGGATGCAGGAGAGAAACCTCAGGACTTTGGGGCTGTGCTTGCTGAACAGGACGTGGCCTATCCTGACTGACAACTCTGAAGGCACAAGTGCACATGCACAGATCTCTGGAAGGACTCGCAATGAACCGGAGACCCACCTACTTGGTAAACCCTTTCACGCAGTTTGCGTTTTCTAGAAAATCAGAGTATAAATTAACAATTTAAAAATTACATTTAGCCCTGGCCAGTTTGGCTCAGCGGTTAGAGCGTCGGCCTGCGGTCCGGAGAGACCCGGGTTCGGTTCCCGCTAAGGGCACGTACTTTGGTTGCAGTTTGTCCCCGGCCCTGGTTGGTCGTGTGGGTGGCAGCCACTCGATGTGTCCCTTTCACGTCGATGTTTCTCTCTCTCTCTCTCCTTTCCTCTCTCTCCCTCCCGCTCTATCTGTACAAAAAATGGAAAAATATCCTCGGGTGAGGATAAAAAAAAAAAAAAATTACATTTAAAAAAGCTTTATTCACAATTTTATTTTAAAATCTGTCAAAATAATCTCAACCCTGTTTTTGGTTCATGGTGGGTGGGATTAGAGCCTAAGAAAAGAGACATGGGCAGGAGAAAAAGTCATTTTAATTTTTATTAAATATATCCTCTTGACACAAATCTTTAAAATATATAAACATTATATATAAACAAAGTGTCTTCATGGCATCAAAATAACTCCAGATCAGGACAGGCAGCCAATGGAGAGAGGTGTGACCACGGAGGGTGCCAGCCCGGCTGTGTGGGGCTAGGAGAGTGGATGTGGTACTGCTGAGGCCCACAGGGCTGGGAGCTGCTACCTTGGGGAGGCACATGGGCCAGCAAGACCTGGAGGACCTTCCTGCCCCTGCCCAGCCTGCAGTTCAAAGGAGGGTACTGCCCACCAGCCACCTGGTCTTGCCCACCTGGGGTGGACCCCCAATCCCTGATGCTCTCTCTGGCCTGGGGCCCTTGGGCTCCCATCCTGTCTCCCTGTAAGGAGTGCCCCTGCCTCTCCTGAGTGGTGGGCAAGGCTGGAAGAGGAGGTGAACCAACCAACAGGACAGCCATCACAGGCTGCTTGGCCCCTGGGGACAAGAGACTGGGAATGATACTGGGGCCAGCTGGTGGACACATGCTAGGAAGGGCACCCCACAGGTCCAAGGCAAGAACAGACATGGGACAGACGAAGGTAAGAAATCAAACCCATCAGTGGAAATTCGTGTGGGGCATGGATCATTTCACACATCGGGGCTGAGCCCACCTTGTCCTGGAACCAAATCGGGCTGGTTGGGTGTTTAGTGACTAGACTCAGGGTCAGCCAAATTTTGAAACCAAAAAGTCAAGAAGCTCCAAATGTCATTAGGAAATGGGTGTTTCTGTCCCTGTGATATGCAGGGAACTTCTGTGAGACCAGCTCCCTGGGGGTGTGTGGTGGTACCTCAACCCTTCTGAACTCCCCACCCCAGGCCATACACTGTCACAGGCTCCCATTTGGGGAGGATCAAGGCTGCCAGCCACCCCCATGCATTCCAGTCATGGAAATCAGACAATCCTGTAGGCCTTAAACTGCCCCATGTCCAGGCCAAAAGTCCACTCAGGTGGGGAGGCAAGGGTGTGCCAGATACTACAGGTTCCCCCAGAAGCGGCTGTGCCTACGGGTAGAGGGTCAGGGCCCCAGGCTCTGCTTCTATGGGTGTGGCCGGGGGGTGAGCAGTAGAGGGTAAGACTGCTCCAGGGTGTGAACTCAGGATCAGGATCACTCGGAGAAGGCTGTTCCCCAGCAGAGAATCTGGGGACTGAGGAGTCATATCACCTGGGAAGTACAGGCAGGACAGGGGTGGGGCTGGGTGGGCAAGAGGCTGCATTTGTAGCCACAACTGAGTAGGAGACTGGTCCCTTCGTGAACAGGTGAGGCCAGGCCTGTCCCACACCCCTGGCTCCTCCACCCTTAGCAGTGAGCACAGATGTGGGCCAACACGGGGCAGGAGGAGCCTGGCTCTGAGCCTAGTGTGAACAGGGTCACTAGAACTGGGAGCATGTCCAAGGTCACAGAGCACCAGGAGGTGGCGCTGGTCACTCCTGCTTCAGGGCGGTTAGAGGGGGCACTTCTGGGGAGCAGAGCCAGCCCCAGAGAGGATGGAAGAGAGGCTGCGGGCTCACCAGTCCCAACACTGTATACTTCAAGGGCCTGTGAGTTTCCTCGTGGATCCACAGGAGCTGAGCACAGGTTCCCCTCCCTGGCCTGCCTGCTTGTTTCACAAGGCGTTTCCACTTGGCCCTGGGACAGGGCCAAGCACCCCCTCATTCCCCAGGCTCCAAAACATTAGGGGTCTGAGGTCTTCTGCATGCTGGAGCTTAGTTCCCTGTCCCCAGAGTGGCCAAGTGCGTGGGCCCCTAGCTCTGCAGGCGCCGCAGCAGGATCTGCATGAGGTCGAAGGTGGTGAAGCTGATGCCCACGGCGATGGGACCCTTGAGCCAGTTCATGCTCAGGCCCTTGTAGAGGCCACGCACCGCGCCCTCCTCCCGCACTATAGCACGCAGTGTGCAGGCGATGGAGGCGCGTGGGTGGCCTGTGACGCCGGCCGTCTGCATGCGCCTCCGCACCACGTCCAGCGGGTATGAGGCTGACTGCCCGATGAGGCCAGCGCAGGCCCCGAAGATCATTCGCTCCAGGGGGTAGGGCTGCCGATGGCCGCTGTACTCTGCGGGGAGAGCCAAGAGAGGCTGTGAGGGTGCTGCCCGGAGCGCACGTCACCCCCACGGGGACACCCAGCACCTACACACACCCTCACTGTGTTTCAGGACCTGACCGGGGTTCCCTATGCCTTTCCACCGGGGCCACTTCCTCACCTCCTGGTCATTTTCTTAAAATTGAGAAATGAAGTTTGTTGTTTTTTTTTAAAAAAAGGCCCGGACAGTGTGGCTCAATGGTTGAGCATTGACCCATGCACCAAGAGGTCACCGGTTCGATTCCCAGTCAGGGCACATGCCCAGGTTGTGGGCCTGATCCCCAGGGGTGCATGCAAGAGGCAGCCAATCGATGTTCTCTCTCATCTGTGTTTCTCTCTCCCTCTCCCTTCCTCTCTCTCTCCAATAACAAAAATAAATAAAGACAAAAAGCACATGAATCATATAACTAAGTCCAAAGACCCAGAATGAGCTCCCACTGAATCACTCTTGTTTTCCCTCCAGTAATCACATCAATCTTCCCTCCCTATAGCCATGGTGCCCCGCGCAGGGGCCTGACAGCAAACACACGGTGAATACCCAGCACTGCCTCACGGGTCTAAAGGGACCAAGGATGTGCAACCCATCACCAGGGGTTCTTCAAGTATGTGTTGTGAATTTTTTTTTTTAATCCTCACCCGAGGACATTTTTCCATTTTTTGTTCAGATAGAGTAGGAGGGAGAGAGAGAGGAAGAGAGAGATAGAAATAATGATATGAAAGGGACACATCGACTGGTTGCCACCCACATGACCCATCCAGGGCCGGGGACAAACTGCAACCAAGGTACACGCCCCTAGCAGGAACCGAACCCGGGTCTTTCTGGACCGCAGGCCGACACTCTAACCGCTGAGCCAAACTGGCCAGGGCTGTGAATTTTTTTTAAACATATTTTTCTTTATTGACCTTAGAGAGAGGAAAGCAGAGAGAGAGCTAGAAACATTGATGAGACAGAACATAGATTGGCTGCCTCCTCCATGCCCTCCACTGGGGATTGGGCCAACAACCTGGGCATGTGCCCTGACTGGGAATCAAACTGGCAACCTCTTGGTACATGGATTGATGCTCAACCACTGAGCCACACCAGCCAGGCTGAGTTGTGAATTTTAATTAGGAATTAAAAACAGGAGACACCACTGTTCACTCACCACATTGGGAAAATATGAAATAACCTGGCTGTACCAGTTGGGGTGACTATAAGGGAAGGGCCCCAGGCAAGTGCAGCACCCGAAAAAATAAAACCAAAAACAGGTCCCCCACAAGGAGGCACTCCTAGATGTCCACAGAAAATCTGCCAACTACCCAAATGCCCCTCCCCTTACCTTGGGAGGTGGGGCGCGGCCTACCCCATGGCTAAAAGGAAGAGCCACACACCTCAGGCAGGATGGACTAGAGCCAGAGCTGCACCCAGAGGTGTGGAAAGTGACTCAACTCTTTATCTTTTATAACCACGAAACAAGATGAGGCTTGTTCCTGTGACATGTTATATGCAGCTCTGGCTGTGGTGGTTATAGTGTTCTCTACACTTTTCAAATTTCTCAAATTATCAAAACACAAGAGGGCACTCCTCCTCCATCTAGATTACCCAGGGGCTTTGTGCAGGTGACTGGTTGTGGTGGCCGTAAACACTCTAGGCCTCACACTGGACTTTACCAGGTTGCTCTTAAAACTAGGCATTAAAGGTCGTAAATCTGGGTTCCTCAGGGGTGGCCTCACCTCATGTGTCTTCTCTTGATTTGGACCCTGAACGCCCAGCCTGTCTGACCTTGGGGTCCTAGTGCCTAGCCTCCAGGTCTGTGTGACCCATGGGTGTTGCCCCATCCCCTCCTCACCTCTGTGCAGGCTCTTGAGCGTCTCGTAAGTGAAGAAGCTCAGCCCCGCATAGGGGATGACCCCCAGCACAGTAGGTATGAAGCCATGGTAGAGGGTCTTCAGCCCCTCTTCCCGAGAGATGCGGATGAAGACATGAAAGATGTTGCTGTACCTGCCAGGACAGAGGGGACCGGTGGGTGGGCTGCCAACTCTGCGGAGGGAGGAGCTGCTGGCCTCAACTCACTAATTCACCACTACTCCTTTGCAGTGGGGGTTGGGCGGGTCTGGATGCTAAGTTTCCTTCTTTGAGGAACATAACCACCTTGTAAAAGCTTTGGCATTAGAGGGGGAAATGGGTGTCCAAGGCCATATTCTGACATCACCACTGGGATCATCTGGGTGTTCAGCCCTCAACTAGCGTTCCCTTGCGTTTTTAATGCATCTGTGACCAATTCAAAATGAAGACTCAAGTTTGATGAAAGCAGAAATGATCCCCAGGCTTAGAGAATTTCCTGAAACAGCTGCAGAATGGCATGCCTGTCCTGTCCTGTCGTACCAGGCAGGGTCCTTGTGGCAGGTGTTGACGCTATAGCTTCCTCTGTGGGCTGGACACAGAAGCCCAGACCCAAACCCATGGGCACACAACAAAGAGATTCAACCTGGAGGCCCCACTGGACAGAGCCCCTGGTACTGGTGAAGGTCACTGTGGTAGGACTCACATTTCCTTTGGGGTCACGGCCATGCGGGCTCGGACCAGGTCCAAGGGGTAGGTAAGCGAAGCAGCTGTAGTTCCAGCGAGTGCCCCTGCGAGGAGGCGAGGCCAAGGGGGCAGGGCTCTGAAAGGGGGGTAGGGTTGAGGAGAGATGGTGAGACCCCAAGGCCCGAAGGAGGGAGGTCCAGCCCAAGGCCCACAGCTCTCAGTGTAAGGGAACCAAGGGCAGGTGGGTTGGCTTTCTGGTAGCTGAGCTGGTGGAGTCTCTAGGGGGACGATTCAATCAATGAATAATAGGGACCTCCTGGGACCTGGGTTCTGACACGGTGAGCATGGAAGAGACAGGAGAGCAGAGGGACAGGAGAGAGCTGAGAGGGTTAGGAGGGGTGGGGGCCTCACTCTCCACGGAAGCCATAGTAGCGGCCCAAGACTCGCTTGTACTCCTCATGTGCGCTGAACTGGATGGCAGCGTAGGGCACCACACGCACCATGGTGGCCGAGTTCCCACGCCACAGGCTGAGGAAGCCCTCTCGGAGGTAGGTGAAGTAGAGCAGCCGGAAGGCCTCCTGGAGGGGACGGGGGGGAGGGGCAAGGTCAATGCCTCCACCTGCCTCTTTCCCACTTCCCGTTCACCTTGCTTTACTTTGTCCAGCCCTGTGCCTGGGGGCCCCACCTACCCCCTACATTCTCTGCCCATCCCCAGCCCCCGACCCTGGGAACTGTCAAGTGAGAGGGGAAGACCAGGTTTGTAAAACAGGCTTTGAGCCCCACACAGAGGTTGTTTTGTTGATGTCTGTCTGGCAGTCTATCTTTTAAAAATATTTTTTTCTTTACTAAGTAACACCTGCTCTATGCTTAAAAATAAATCAAATATGTAAACATGGGTTTAAATCATCAAGTCCCCTCACCACCACCCCAATGATAGGTGCTCTCCTGTCAATTCCCAGGGTGAGATTCATCCAGGCAGTGCTCAGGGTGCCAGGACCAGTGGTCCCAACCCTGAGGCCTGGCAGAGGGGGCCTCAGTCACCTGGGCTCCTGTGAACCAGCCTGGGGAGGAACCAAAGGGGCAAAGCATCTCCCCCCTTCCCTTCCTCCCAGGCAGCCCCAGAGCCAGGCGTTGGTGATGTAGTGGCTCACCTTGGCAGAAAATCTTTTTGAAGATACTGGGGAAACAAAAAAACCACAGACTGTTAGATGCAAAGGATAGGATCTCCCAAGTCTGCATGACCCCCACTGCAGGAAACTGGTCTGAGTTGGGGAATGACAGACAGCAGCCCCTGAGAATGCTCCCCCTCAAAGGGCTGAGGGGTGGTCCTGAGCAAGGTTACTCTCCTCCCCTCTGTACCCAGCCCCTCTGCATGCCAACTTGTCCCCAGGATGGGGGATGAACTGCCATCTGACCCCAGGACAGTGAGGGTCTCCCCAGGGGCCTGTGTGTGAAGGGTCGACACTTAGCACCCCCACCCAACCAAACACCTTTGAGAAAGGTGTCACAGCCGTTAGCCGTGTGGGGTTCAGTTCTGGGGTCTGCCGTTTCTCAATGGCCTGGTACAGGTGCCCCTATCCTGTCTCTCCTACCCTCCCTAGCTGCCTGGTTCACTCCCCTGCTCCTTGGTGCACTGTCACCAAGGGCTGGAGCCATGGTGGCCACAAGGATCCAGAAACACAGGCCATGAGGGGTTCGGTCTTGTAGCCTCCCCCTCTTTACTTCCTAAGTGTCTGCTTCATCCTCAGGACACCCCTGCACTCCATCCGCATGGGCGTGCGCATATGTTCTGCCTTCAGGGTTACCGTCAGCGCCCTGCAGGGAGCTACACTTCAGGTTTTCCAGGTAAAAATGCAGCTGACATGGGGGAACGAACATGAGGGAGCTCAGCCTCATGCCTGCTCTTCTCACAGCCTTTAGGGAGGTTGATGTTATCGTTCTCATTGTATAGATAAGGAAACTGAGGCAAGAGAGGCTAGGGGGCCAGCTTAAGGAATTGGGGAGGGCTTCTCTTCCCTAACAGCTGAGGGATGGGGTCCCGGGTTGTGATTATGCTCCTGCCTAGTGCTGAGCAGGCACTGGCCACTGTCTGCAGGGTGGAAAGGCCTCCTCTTCAGGGGACCCTGTGCTTGCTTAACCCTAAACAGAGAGAAATGGTTTTTTGAACTGTGTCCCCCCAAAAGACATGTCCATGTCCTCACCCCCAGGACTTGTGACTGACCTTAATTGGATGTGGGGCTTTAGCAGATGTCATTAAATTAAACCAAGGTTGTATTGGACTGGGGTTAGCCCTAATCTACTGATGGGTGTCATTATAAAAAGAAAGGACACAGGCAAGAGGGGAAGGCAGAGACGGGTGATGCGGCCACAAGCCACAGATGCCTGCAGTCCCCAGAGCTGGAAAAGGCAGGAAGGCTCTTCTCCTAGAGCCTCCAGAAGGAACCAACCTTGCCAGCACCTTGAGTTCAGACTTCTGGCCTCTGGAAATGTGAGAATATAAACTCCTATTCTAAGCTGCCTGGTTTGTGGTGCTGTGTGCCAGCCGCCCCAGGACACAAACAGAGTTTCTAAGTGGATTTAGGAAGCATTAAAAAAATCAATTTGCAGTGCAGTTTGGAGGACTGTGAGATGGAGGGTGACTGCCTGCCTGGCAGCATCTCTATCAGAGAGGGACAGACAGACAGACAGACAGCATTTACCTTGGAAAATGATTTTGGTTCGGTCCAAGGGAGCTACTGCTGTTTTGGCAAGAGCGCCAGCCAGGGCCCCAGACAAGAGGGAGCTGAGAACTTGCCTGTGATCGCTCTGCAAGAAATACATGAACACAAGGTCTGTTGTCAGTGAGGGAGGGGAAAGGTCTGCTCTACTGGGGACAGCACCAAGAGGATCACCTTTCTTCACTCCTTCATCACCCCCTACCCTGGTCCAGGGCTGAGAAATGCTCAGAAGCTTGAGTGTCATGGCCTAATGGGCCCTGGGCGAGCAGTGGTGGGTCCAGGGACCACAGAGCCTTCACGGGACATGATGAAAACCTCCCAGGTGACAGGGGGCATCCATATGAGAGGTGATGCACTGTCTGGGCCATCCAGGGAGATTCTGTGTTCACAGAGGCAGCCTACAATCAGAATGACTCCAAACATGAGTCACCCCTGACCCATCTTGCAAGCCTTGATCCTGTCCACCCGTGTGTGCCGGCCTCTTGCATCTCGGTGTTTCAGGGCAAAGTCACAAGGGCCCTTGTGGTGGTGGGGCTACTGGCAGGGATGCTGGGCAAGAGGACTCTACCTGTGTCAGTGTGTCCCCTTTCTACATCTTTCTGTCAAGACTTCAGGGCGTGGGATCTGTGGCTTTTCAGCCAAGGCGAGGGTGATGGTGATGTTAGCTGACCTGCTAACATCATGTGCGTCATGTGCTCCCACGGCCAGCCTCAGGGCCAGTGTTTTCCCTGTCTTCCGGAGGGTCCCAAGGGCTCCATGCACAGCCCTCTTTCCTTCCTTCCTCCCTTTACATGTCCATCTGAGCCCTGAGCAGTCTCATCAGACTGGAGTCTACATTCCTCTAGCTGACTCTCACAAGCAACCACAGGGAGAACTCTGGAATGTTCTGGACTGGAGGTGCCCATCTTTCCTTGATCCATAATGAGCAAGAATGGCAAGGGTCAGGTCACTCAATGATCCCAGGAATCCATGAAGTCCCATGCAGATCAGGTGGCTTGAGGGACCTGGGGACATGCCGTGCAGGGTACGGTATGTGAACCCTCTCCTCTCATGGGGCCACCAGTCTATGTAGAGAGCAAGACATGAACTAAATCTTCAGGCAAAAGTCGCCAATCTAGTTGGGGGTCTCACAAGGAGGCTGGCTTTTGCCCAGAGACATGGAGAAGCACAGAAGGTGGACAGGCCATTTTCACTGTGACCAGAGAAGAGGTGGCTCCTGCAGTCGTCAAGATGGAGAGGTAGAGGCCAGAGAGGGTGCACCTAGGGGAGGCTGCAAAGGCGTTTGGGGGGGGGGGGGGGCTGAAGCCTGGGTCTGAGTGGATATGGTGGGATTCAGGCAAGCCCTCACCAAATTTTCTCTGATCAACAGAGGCCCAGGAATGAAGGGCTGGGCCCTGAGTCTGTCTACACATCTGGTCTGATTCTGGGCTCTATCCTGCCTGCAGTGACCAGAGGATGGCTTCCCTGGTCTCCCATCCTTCATCTTTGACATGCTGAGTGCTATCTCCCAGTCAAGGTCCCACTCCCAGATCCTCTCCTGTGTGTGCCAGGTGCTCTCAGGGGATGTGTGACCTGCCACTTGGCCCCCACCCCTGTACAGATCTAGCTCCTTTCCCTTAACGCCCTGGCACCCCCCCGCACCTGCCTAGCCCACCCCTCCCTAAAAGGACAAATTCTAGAGAAGTGTTTTTCCTCCCGTGTTCCTGAGGCAGAGCTTCACCAGAGGGTTCCATCTTTACACAGGCCTGTCACTGGGGACCATCCTGCCTTTTTTGGGGTCACACAAAAAGATTCTGGTCATCTGGTCCTGGTTCTGTTGGTTTTGAGAGGTGTGGACATCAGATGCTGGAAGGTTCAGTGGTACTTCTAGCACCAGCTCCCTTTCTCTATGAACTAATGAGCAATTGCTCACCCCTGCTGTGAGCCAAGGGATCACCCCACAACAGCCCATGTGCTTGTCAGCACTACAGGTGAAGCCTCCTTCTGCAGGTTACTTCCTGTGCAATCTGTGGTTCTCACGACTCCAAGGCCAGCTCTGTAGTTCTGTGTGTCTAGAACACAGGTCCTTAAACCCTGCTCTTTTTTTTATTATTCATTTATTTAGTTTTTTCATTTATTTTTTATCTTTATTGTTGAATGTATTACAGATGTTCCTCATTTTCCCCCCATTGACCCCCTCCTCCCCACTCCCACTCCCACTATTGTCTGTGTCCATTGGTTATGCACATATGCAAATACGTTTTTTGGTTTATTTCTTCCCACCCCCCAACCCCCCTTCCCTTTGAGGTTTGTCAGTCTGGCAATGAATTTGTACTTCTTAATCCCTTCACCTTTTTCACCCATTCCTCCAACACCCCTCCTCCCATCTGGCAACCAACAAAATGTTCTCTGTATCTATGAGAATGTTTCTGTTCTGCTTGTTCATTTTGTTTGTAGATTCAATTGTCAATAGATATGTATTCATTGCCATTTGGTTTGTTCATATATTTTATCTTTTTCTTCAAAAAGACCCTTCATCATTTCATTTAATAACGGTTTGGTGGTGATGAACTCCTTTAACTTTTTCTTGTCTGGGAAACTCTTTATATGGCCATCGATTCTAAATGATAGCTTTGCAGGATAGAGTAATCTTGGTTGTAGATTCTTGCTTTTCATCATTCTGAGTATTTCTTGCCACTTCCTTTTGGCCTGCAAAGTTTCTTTTGAGAAATCATATGACAGTCATGGGAATTCCCTTGTAGGTAACTAACTGCTTTTCTCTTGCTGCTTTTAACATTCTCTCTGTCTTGAACCTTTTGCATTTCGATGATGATGTGTCTTGGTGTGGGCCTCTTGGGGTTCATCTTATTTGGGACTCTCTGTGATTCCTGGACTTGTATGTCTGTTTCCTTCACCAAGTTAGGGAAGTTTTCTTCCATTATTGTTTCAAATAGTTTTTGATTTTTTGTTCTCTCTCTTTTTCTTCTGGCACCCCCAAGATGCGAATGTTGGCACGCTTGAAGTTGTCCCAGAGGCTCCTTACACTATCCTCATTTTTTTGTAGTCTTTTTTCTTTTTGCTGTTCTGATTGGGTGTTTTTTGCTTCCTTATATTCCAGGTTGATGGCTTGCTTTTTGGCTTTACCTACTTTACTATTGAATCTGTGTAAATTACTCTTTATTTCAGTTAGTGCCTCCTTCATTTCTGACTGTGCATCCTTCATTTCTGACTGGTCCTTTTTTATGCTCTTGAGGCCCTCACTAAGTTCACTGAGGTTCTCACTAAGTTCATTGAGCATCCTCATAAGCAGTATTTTGAACTCAGCATCTGTTAGGTTGCTTATCTCCATTTCGCTTAGTTCTTTTTCCTGGGGTTTTGTTCTGTTCTTTCATTTGGGACCTGTTTCTTTGTCTCCTCATTTTGGCTGCCTCCCTGTGTTTGTTTCAGTGTATTACTTAATGAGAGGTATGGGGCTCGCTGAGACCAGATGCTGCTCGTTTGAAAGAATTTAGAAAAACCTGAAGCAGGATCCAAGACAGGCCAATCCTATGGTGAAGCAACTGGCAACAGCTTGGGTGGGCCTGAAAGTTGGGTGGGGCGGGGCCTCAGGGAATCACTAGAGCGGGGCTACCAGTGTGAGCCAGATTGCTATAGTGCCACATATGGTGGCTGCCTGCTGCCCTAGGGAAGGGCTCACCAAAGGAACAAAGGCCTCTGACAGCATGTTTGTTCCAGAGGAAGACCCTCTCCAGCCCTCGCTCCAGTGCCAAACAGCTCAGTTCTTCCCTGTATGTCTCTGGCGCCCCTTGAGATGCCTCCTCTCCAAGCTTAGTGGGAGTGAGTCTGATAAGTCCATGCGCGGGCCCTTTAAGAGGAGCTGCCTGGGGCTCCAGCCGCATCAGCCTCCCTGAGCCTCAGTTCCCACTGGTTTTTCCAGCCAGAAGTTATGGGGACTTCTCTTCCTGGCACTGAGACCCCGAGCAGGGCTCCTGGTGTGACACGGGGACCCCTCAGTCCTCAGGGAGGACCTTTCCAGCTGAGGTGTCCTCCTGATTTTTATCCACCACATATGGGTGTGGGACCAGCCTGTCTGCCTCCGCCCCTCCTACCAGTCTCCATGTGGCTGCTTCTTTAATTTCATAGTTGTAGGACTTCCATTCAGCTTGATTTCAGGCGGTTTTGAACGATGGTTGTTCTGTAGTTTAGTTGTAACTTTGATGTGGCTGTGGGAGGATGCAATACCATGTGTACCTACGTCGCCATCTTGACCAGAAGTCCTTACACCCTGCTCTTGAGGTAGCTCCAGGATGCTGAGTTCACTTCCTGGCTCAGAGAAGGCTGCTGCTGCATCCAGTAGATGCTTCCACTGACCACAGCAGTTTATTCTTGAGAGAGCTCAGCACAGGAATCACCACGTGGTCAGTGTGCCCATGTCCATTGCATGGATGGATCCTACAAATGTAGTGCGAGGCAGACAGTCCAACAAAGAGAATGTGGGCTGTCATAGATGATCCACAGAGCCGTGAGCACTGCAAGAAGGCTCTGGACTTCTTCACCAAAGAGATGAGATTTACAGGGTAAGTTCCACATCAAGCTGGCCAAGTGGACCAAGGCTGATGTCAGATGTGTGACCAGCACAGAGGAAGATGAGTATTGATTATCCAGGCATGTGACAGGAACAAACAGGCCTTTTGCTGGGATCCAACTGGCCAGCAGAAGGGCTGAATCTCCCTCATGCTCTGCTGGGAAGTTCACTAAACTGGGAGGGACATGCATGCCTGCTGTAGGCTCACCCTCGCTACCCCACATGGTGTGGTGATGGTGGCCCCACACACTGGCCCACAAACCAGTCCTCCCACTTGCCTGGCCACCTGGAATTTGGGAAAGGTCTGGAGGATTGAAGGATTATCACCTCAGCGTTTGAACTTGTGGACTTTGAGACCTGCCTGAAGGCACCTGAGCTGTGCTCTGAGAGTTAGGATGGGCCAGGAAGGGCCCTTTCTCACAAATAAACCTGAGTTTGCAGATTCTTTTGCGTTTGCAAATCTGAGTGACAAAAGGGGCTCAGGAAACCTTCTGCCATCCCAGCCAAATTTGGATAAGGTTTTGACTTCTTGCCCTGTGGTTGGGGGGACTGGATTTACATCACAAATGGGGCAGCCAGCATCTCCCCAGCCCAGTCTCACGCTGATGCAACCCCACACCCGTGTGTGTGTGGGGTGATTTGTGATGGGTGTGCACACACAGGAGAGGGACCCTTGAGCACACCCAAGGGGAGGCCAGGTACTTGCCTTTGGAGAGACAGGTGAGGGCAGGATGGCCTCGGCATCCTCACGCAATCGCACAGCACCTTCCTTCACACCATTACCCATTCCAGGCTGCTGGAGACAGTGGAAACTCAGTCCTGAGGAGCAAGAGGGGGCATGAGACCCGGTATGAAAGGGCTTCCCCCAGTGGCCTCATGTTCCAGTCACTTGAACTGAGTATGATTTTCCTAACTTGATGTCTGTCTCCCTGCAGAGAAAGGACACTGCACCAGCATCTAGATGCCCTCCGCTGATGGCTTAATCATTTACAAAAGCTTTTATTTGATCGTCACAAATAGGCCTCTGAGTCATCTGCCTTTTTACTTAGTAACAACTGGGCAGATGAGCTGAGAAAAGTTATGCCACCCCAATTAGGTCACAGAGCGGGAGGCAGGGGCATGGTAGACTGTGAGGCAGAGAGGCAAATGCCCACTGGGCTCAAGACAGCCTGTACCCAAGCCTCTGTCACAGAAACAATTTTTATTTATTTGTTTTTTGTTAATCCTCACCTGAGGATATTTTTTCCATTGATTTTTAGAGAGAGTGGAAGAGAGGGAGGGAGAGAGAGAGGGACAAAGAGAAACATCGATGTGAGAGAGAGACATCGATTGGTTGCCTACCGCATGACCCTGACTGGGGCCAGGGATCAAACCTGAAACCCAGGTACATGCCCTTTACCGAGGCTCAAACCCACAACCCTTTGGTCTACAGGCCAATGCTCCAACTACTGAGCCAAATAAGCCAGGGCCACAGAAACAATTTTAGAAAATTAATCTTTTCTTACTGTGTGGCTGCCTCTCTTTGTGGCCGAGCTTATAGCAAAGGGCCCTAATACTTGAGGGTTCCTTGCTGGAAACCCACATTTCTCCTCCGGGTGGAAGTGCATGCAAAGTTCAGCATACAGCAGTGAGGGGACCACAAGGAAGAAAGGGTGAAGGACAAGTGTCACCAAGACGCCACTGTGCACCAGTGTCCTTTGAGGTCTTGGTTCCCATGCTTTAAAATTATCCAATAAATCAAGAGCACTGAGATCCCCCCAGTTTATGTCGTCAGTTTGGCTCAAATAATTTTTTTTTTAAGTTCCTCACCTGAGGACACTTTTCTATTTGTCATCAGATAGAGTGGGAGGGAGGAAGAGAGAGAGAAAGAGAGAAACATCTATGTGATAGAGCCACATCAACTGGTTGCCTCCAGCACAACCTGACCAGGGCCATGGACAAACCGCAAGCGAGGTACGTGCCCTTGTCTGGAATCAAACCCACGACTCATTGGTCCGCAGGCCAATGCTCTAACCGCTGAGCCAAATTGGCCAGGGCTCAAATAAACTCTTATGAAAATTCTCTGTAGGTTTGGATGTTCTTATGTTGACACCTCTATGGGAGCAATGATGGAAAAAGGATAAAAGAAATAATAAAATTATCCAATAAAACAATTTTACACTTTCCTGTAAAATTATGCAAAGGATGCAGATGTGCCTGAATAGGCTGTGGAAGCTCCTCATGCTCTCTGGGTCCTTCGAGGCACTTCACATGGGTGCCAGTGCAGAAGGTTCTAGAAAGCACAAATGGGATTCCACTCCATTAGTTCCTGCTTCTGTTTCCTACTCAAAAAAGGCCTGGCTCTGGAAGGAACAGCTGCTTCCAGGGCAGAGCAGGAAACACAGGGATAAGGCCGGAGCACCCTAAGTTGCCAGGGAGAAACCAAAACTGGGGGTCTGTGATTATGGGATATGGGAGCCGAGTTGAGTCAAAGACCTCCCAGTGGCCAAAGCTGGAACAATTTGAGCAACAAAATCAATAATGTCCATGAGTCCACACTAGTATAAATGAATGAGGAAGAGATAAATCTCCCATCAGAAGAATCCAAAGTAATTTGTGCAGATGCCTTGCCCTCAAGGAAGGAGAGTGGGATTTCTCACCCTTAGGTATGGGCTGTAAATAGTGATTTCCTTCCAAAGGGTACAGGAAAGGGGGAAGAAAGAAGCTTTACAAAGGAGAACCTGATAGACACCACCTCAGCCAGGGGATCAAGGTCAACATCACAGTGAAAAGTCAGGTTGGTGGCATTTGCCTGGTCACAGTGTGATAAGGGTGCTTCAACTCTATAGTCCTCCTCCCCACACCCATCACCCCATTTCAACCATGAGAAAAATACCACACAAATCCCAATTGAGGGCATCCTACAAAATACTTGACCAGTTCCCAAAACTGTCAAGGTCATCAAATCAAGAAAGTCTGAGAAACTGTCTCAGCCCAGAGGAGCCTACAGTACACTAAGAAGATGTGATAATTAAATGTATGAGATCCTAAGACAGAAAAAGGACATTAGGGAAAACAGATGAAATCTGAATAAATTATGGACTTTAGTTAATAATAACGTATCAGTATTCTGAAAAACAAAAACAAAGAAACAAACAGAGGCACTTTAAAATGGAGCCAGAGCCTTAGCCGGTTTGGCTCAGCGGTTATAGCGTCAGCCTGTGGTCCAGAGAGACCCAGGTTCGGTTCCCGCTAAGGGCACGTACCTCGGTTGCAGTTTGTCCCCAGCCCTGGTAGGTCGTGCGGGTGGCAGCCACTCAGTGAGTTCCTTTCACGTCGATGTTTCTCTCTCTTTCTTTGTTCCTCTCTCTCCCTCCCACTCTACCTGAACAAAAAATGGAAAAATGTCCTCGGGTGAGGATAAAAAAATAAAAAAATAAATAAAATGGAGCCAGAGCTGCCATCCCAGAGGAACTGCCTTGTGTCTTATCCCTTAAACCTTTAGAATGTTAAAAGGGCGAAATAACCCTTGGACTGGGCCTCAAGAACATTGTGTTCCAAACAGCTGTTTGCAAGATAATAAGAAAGCCACCCAGACTAAAAATTAAACACATTGTTTAGAATTAGTGTCACTATGGCAGCTTATCTGCACCAATAGAAATGCCTTCTATTAATGTAATTGTTCTCCTTCCCTTTCTCATAAATACCCGTTGCCTTGTCTCCTAATTGGAACACTCTTTGGGTGTCTGCCTGAATCAGTGCTTTCCCAATAGCAATAGCTGTTCTTTTTTTTTTTTATCCTCACCCGAGGACATTTTTGCATTTTTTGTTCAGATAGAGCGGGAGAGAGAGAGAGAGAGAGAGAGAGAGAGAGAGAGAGAGAGAGAGAGAAACATCGATGTGAAAGGGATACATTGAGTGGTTGCCAACCACACGACCCAACCAGGGCCGAGGTATGTGCCCTTAGCGGGAACCAAACCCGGGTCTCTCTGGACCGCAGGCCGTCGCTCTAACCGCTGAACCAAACCGGCCAGGGCCCAATAGCTGTTCTTTTGATCTCAAATAAATGCTTGTTGCCTCTCAGTTTGGCCTTTGTTTTTAGCTTAATAATTTATTAGTTGTGACAAATGTACCATACTAATGTCAGATGTTAAAATGGAAGAAACTGGGTATGTGGAGTTTAGGGGCTGGTGTTACCTTTGCAATTTTTTTGTAAATCTGAAACTGTTCACTAACATAAACCAGGCCTTCACAGTGGTCTCAAGCCCACTGCTGGGGTGTCAGCCTGTGGTGTGCACTGAGACCATTACCAACTCTAGCACCTCCGACTGCGGCTCACACCACCCCAATACTCTGGACCCTGACGATCGTTCTTGCATCTGGGCATGGATGGTGCTGTACCGTGTGAGCATGCTGAATGTGAACACATGCTGTAGAACCTTCATAAGAAAGGATCCAGCCCTTTGAACACCTGCACTGGGTGAGGTGCCTGTGGCTGAGTTCTCTCTTCCAGCTCCTGCTCCAAGTTCCCCAGGGGATCTGTTTTGTAGTAAAACAGTATCCCCAGGCAGGCAGGTGCTCATAGATGGGCTCAGGCCTGGGGCTGCTCATGGAGCCCATTGGACCTTATCAGGGCCTGCCATGGTATCTCAACACAGATGGCTCTGACAGGGGCCTCAGTGTGGTAGATCCAGTCAGAAACAAAATCACCACACAAACTGATACAGACCTATAACAGCGTGTCACTGCAGGTAACAGAGCGTTGAGGTGGGTCATACAGAAGGTACCTGCAGGGAGCTGACCCACAAAGACATGTGTGCTCAGAACCTATGGATGTGATACTATTAGGAAAAGGGTCTTTGCAGATGTAATTAAGATAAGAACCTTGAGATGAGATCATCCTAGATTTAGGGTGGGTCCTAAATTCAAGGACAAGTGATCTGTTAAGAGACAGAGGGAAAAAGACACAGACAGGGAGAGGCCCTGTGAAGGCAGAGGCAGAGACTGGAGTGGTGCCCTCCCTAGCTGAGGAATTCCTGGGGCCGCCAGGAGCTGGAAGAGACAATATTACAATATTATTGAATACAGCCCCTCTCTCCCCTAGAGCCTCTGGAGGGAGTGGGCCACACACACCTTAATTTCAAATTTGACTTCCAAAACTATGATACATTTTGGAACCTTGTCTTAAGCCACACAGTTTTGTGGTGATTTGTTATGGCAGCTACTGGAAACTAAAGGCCCTTTTTAGGGGAGAACCTGGAGGGTCCCAGCCCCCCGGCCCCACCAGCTCAGCAGAGCAGCCTGACAACTACTTCCATCAGGGCCCCCGTGCCCCTGGCAGCTTCCCAGGATTGCAGGGTGAAGAGAACATTCTTGCCCTGGGGGATTGTGGGGATGGGGTGAGGGCTGTCTCAAGATTTTGTCCCTCAGGCCAAAAGCTAATTTCTCTAAGAAATAAAGACCTCTTTTAAATCACTTAAAAAACAACAACTCAAGACAAAATAAGGCAAAGAAACAGCAGGTCACCAGAATGAAACAACTTAAAAATATGACAAGGTGCCTGCATATACTCATGATGGGAAAGGCAGAGGTGTCACCTACAGTGAGGGGCTGTTTGCATGTATGGGGCAATAATGCAACTGTGCAACAAGGCGGTATGTATACGGAGAGAGGCTGAGGGTGGCACTTCTGTGTTGGAATGTGTGCTGTGCCCCCAACAATGAGCATGAAGACTTGGGGGCCAGTAAGATCACCTCCAGCTGCTGGTCCCAGTGAAGGGGAGGAGAAGACAGGGGGAATATGTGCCTTGTGTCCCCATAGGAGAGTGCCATCTAGCTTTT